TCATTCCCGGTAAACTGAGCCCCTACTGTGCATTCAACACGAAGAACCCAAGGGCCACATCCATGAACAATGTGGACGAAGCTCACCCATACGGGAGCCGTGCCCCAGCAGCAGGTATGGACGGGAAGCGGAAACCACGACTGATGCGCAGATTTGCACCATTCAACGAGCAGAGGCGTCCTACAGGAACCCCATTGGTCAGCGGGTGGCTGTAGGGGTGAAGGGGTTGCAATTTTTCTTTTCCTGAACTGAGGATTGAATCCAGGACCTATTTTTTATTTAGAAACAGGGTGGCGATAAATTGCTACGTCACCCCGTCTGGGCTCAAACTTGTGATCCTCCTGCTTCAGCCTCCCAGAATACTAGGATTACAGCAGTGTACTATCACAAACCAGCTGCAATTTTCATTATGAATTAATTTAATTGGATCCTGAAGGCTTTCAATCTTTCAGAGAAGTATTGGCCAGTAGAAATAGGGTGTAAGTCATATATACACAGTTTAAGATTTTCTAGTAGCCAAATCAGAGAAAAAAAAAATATGTCAAATTAATGTTAATATTTTTATTTAATCTAATGTATCCAAAATATCATTTCAACATGACATAAATGTAAAAATTACTACCAGGCCTGGTGGCCCATGCCTGTAATCTCAGCACTGGAGAGGCTGAGGCAGGAGGATCACCCCGAGGGTGAGGCTAGCCTGGGTTACATAATGTGTGTGTGAGCCAGGAGACTAGGCTGTGGTCAACCAGCTGGGAGAGTGGGTGGTGTGACCTGTCAGTCACAGAGAGCCGGGACACCTGTACCTGGGACCAATCACAAAATGCTATCTTCCGTTTTGGAGTGCAGAATGAAGTGGGTTTGGATAGGACGGCCTAGATCTGACGTCAGCCTGAAGAACAGGAAGTACAAAAAAATCTGTCCTTAGCCTCACGGCCACAGCGAACTCCCCCGCCTTCTTTTCCTGTCTTTAAGTGGCCCACTCTCACTATGCAGGGGATTCTTCTTTTCCTACCTTTAATAAATGTAAAAGCCCACTACCTTTTTCGTGTGTTTTGTCTAATTCTTTGTTGAAAACACCAAGAACCCAGAATGAGCCCACAGCAATGCAGAGCCCAGTAACATACACGTACATCCCTACGTTACATACACTGCACCCACACTGTGCGTTCACACACACGCACACACACACGCACATGTGGAAGTTCTAAGTCCTCCCCCACCTTGGTATTTCGCTCCAGGATCCGTTTCACACATCTCAGTTTGTTCTGGCCCTGTTTCAAGCGCTCCAAAGGCACCTGAGCCTGGTGCCGCCACGTGGGAAAATGCAGACAGCCCTGGGACAGATGAAGACACTGCAGAGAGACAGAGCCAGAGCAGGCTGGATTCTGGGCCCACGGTGTGTTCAGGGACAGCCCCGGGAGTCTCTGCCCTCTTTGCCCAGTGACACCGGGCAACCCCGCGCAGACCCACTCAGCTGGGTGCTGGACTCTGACTCCAGAGCTCGGGGCAGGCAGAGAAGTCCCCAAGGCAAACGCTTCTGGAAGCCTGGGCTTCCTTCCCGGAGGGCCGGTGAATTCTTAGGACCAGACCAACAGTCTCTCAGTAAACGGCTTTAGATAAGGGTCCCGCCCAGCCGGCCAGCCTGGCCAGCAGTGTCATCAGCTCGCCTATCTGGAGGGGCAGTCAGAGGACAGATGGTGTAATCTCCCGTCCCAAGTCCGAAACCCTGCAGGGCTGGGCCCGCCCAGTACAGGGAGAGTGAAGCCAGACATCCTTCCCCGGGCCCGGAGACCACCTTGCCCTACACGCACCCACCCGCCCCACCCTGCAGTCTCCCAGCTATTCTGTCCCCTTCGTTATGGTTCTAGCTCAAACGCCAGCAGCTCTGAGGAGCCTTCCCAGGACACGGTTGCCAACTACCAGCAACTCCTCATCCCTTCTCACTGCTCAGAATGTCCTCTACACACGTACCCCTGCCTTTCACGCTGCACACGTATCCCTCTTTTACATGTCTTTCTTTCATTTGTTCTGCTGCGTTGTGAGACACAGTCTCTACATAGTCCAGGATGGCCTTGAACTCACTATGTGGGCCTCAAACTCGTGGTGATCCTCATGCCTCGGCCTTCTGGAACACGGAGACCACAGGTGTGCACCGCTACCCCTCAGCTTTTTTCTTTTTCTTTTGGTACTGGACACTGAACCTGGGATCAGACTGATCTTGAAATTGTGGCAATCCTCCTGCCTCAGCCTTCCAAGTGCTGGGATCAGTGGTGTGTTCTACCACATCCAGCTGTTGGGCATATTGTTTAACCTATGTGGGAAGCAACTCGAGCACTAGCCTACCTAGGTCCTCTGCGATCAGATGGATAAAATGTTGCAAGAATCTCAAAAATAAGGCATTTTTAAAAGAATTTATTTTTTGAAAGTTTTTTGAAACAGGGTATCACTATGTAGTTCAGGCTGCCCTCCAACTCTTGGTGATCGATTTTCCTGCCTCAGCCTCCCAAGTGCCAAGATTGTAGATGAACACCACCGTGACCAGCCTAAAAATAAAATCAAGTGGGCCATAGCTGGTATTCTATTTTATTTATTTTTTTGGTGCTGGGGATGGAAGTAAGGTGTGTTGATTTTTTTTTCCAACAAAGAACTCATGAGCTTTCTGTGTAAAATCTCTCCCCACTAATAAGGAACCAAGCAATGACTAAAGTTTGTTTTCTTTTTTCCCCCAGTGCTGGACATGGAACCCAGGACCTGCACGTGCTATAGGACACACTGTTCCATCGAGTTCCAGCCCTTTTCATGTTTCTTTTGAGACAGGATTGGGACTTGTGATCCTCCTGCACTAGTCTCTGGAATAGCTGGAATTGAAGGTGTGTGCCAAGGCACCTAACCCTTAAGACACTTAACACCCTGTAATCCAGAGTTAGGTGTTGATAAACAATGGCAAATTCATTGTTAAACCTACTGAGATGTGTTCGTGTTTTAAACTCTGGCAGGCAGATGATCTGTATGAATAATCTAGTCATATATAGTAAGAATGGTAGGTTTTGGGGTTTTGTTTGTTTTTTTGGTACTGGGGATGGAACTCAGGATCTTGTGTTTGGGAAGCAGGTACGGTGCCACTGAGCTATACCCCTGGCCCAAGAGTGGTAGGTTTTTAAACTTTTTTAAATGCTATTACCGCCAGGTATGGGGGCACGCCTGTAATCCCAGCACTGGGGAGGCTGAAGCAGGAGGATCACCACAATTTGAGGCCAGCCTGGCGAGACCATGTCTCAAAAAACAAAAGAAGTGCTACCACCAACTGTTAGCATCCCCCCAGGACAGTGAGTGGTGCCAGCACTGTTCAGTAAACAGGCTCAGCTGCAGCTGCCAAGTCCCGAAGGTCCTACCCAGAAGCTGGGGACCGAGACAGTGCCACTTTAAAGTTCAGGCTGACCTCAAATTATCAGGGATCCTCCTGCTTCGGCCTCCCCACTGAGTGCTGGGATTACAGGCGTGAGCCACCATGCCCAACAAAAAAGAAATAAACAGATACATAAATTCTTAAAAAGCCAAAAAGGATAAAAAAATTAACTTCTTGGTTCTTCTTTTCTTGGAGACAAGGTCACGCTACGTATTTCAGACTGGTCTTGAACTATGTAACCCCAGGCTGGCCAAGAACTTTTGGCGATCCTCCTGCCTCAGCCTCTGAGTGTTGGGATTACAGAATTTGATATTTTTAGAACAAAATAAAACTCCCTTTGTCCCTGACCTACTCCCCACCCTTTGTAGCACAGAACTCCTGCCCATCCACCAGGAGTAAGATAAGGCGGTCCCTACCCCAGGGCTGCTCTTCCGGGCAAGGGTCGGGCTGCTCATGAGGGACGAAGACGTGGTACAGAGACCCGTCCCCCCACCCCCCAAGAGCAGGCTGGGAGCCCCAGAAGACGGAGTGCTTCTGGCCCTGCGCGGGACGTTCTGTGTTAATGTCCCCAGGCTCGGCGGGGGAGCAGCTGCATGGGAAGACCGCTGGGGCCAGCCCCGACTTGAACCTTCCCTGGCCGTGACCCCATTTCTGGTCACACATCGGTCACAGGCCAGCAGGACCTCGGGCAAACCCCAAACCAGATCCATTCAGAGCCTGGGTCAACGTGTAAAACAAACAAGATTTATTACTAACTAGGAATGCTGCCCGACCGACAGTGCAAACTCTCAACATCGGAGACCAGCACAAGCAGGCGAACGGAGGTCACCCCGATGGAGCTCCCACGACCATCCGCCAGGGGGCAGACGGGCTCCATCGCTGCCCAGGGTCCAGGCGGGCAGAGCCCCGGCACACCGAGAGGTACCTCGATTCCGGAGCAGGAAGCGCTTCTGGTCTCTGTGGTCACGGGAGGACTCTCCTCCTCCACAACAGTTCAGCTGCCAAGTTCAAGTTCAGCGGAATGTAGCAACAAGTACCTGAGACTGAACTCGAGGCCTCCCCACTCCCTTCCTTCTGGAATCTGGTCACAGCCTGCGTGCTCCTGCCTGGCCGGTGGGGAAGCACTGATTCGGGCTGCTGCAGGTGGCATCGGCTGTGCACACTCCAGGACCCACAACGGACACGGACGCCTGGCGCTCGGCTTTTCACATCCGCTGGGCATTCGCCGCCATGGGCACAGTACCGGGTGTTGGGGTGGGAGGAAGCGCTCCCATCAGAGGTTTCGAGCAGGTCCGGGCTGAGGTAGGAGAACGTGGCTGCAGAGGCCTGAGACCTCCTTGGTTCCGAAGTCCCCTGGCATGGCCTCTGCGCCACTCACCAGTGAGGGGGCAGTGGGTACATCGGAGTGAAAGTCACAGGCAGAGGGTGCCAAGGGTACCACAGGGGCTGGTTTTGTTGTCTTTTTTTTTTTTTTTTT